GATTTGATGGATTTTAAAGTTAAATTTAACACAGTTTATTGTATAGGGAAGGAAGAAATGGCCTTTTCAAAATTCTTACTTCAATACAAAAATGGGCTACCTGTGACACCTGCATACAGTAACGATGTTAGGTGTGGTGAAATGATGTCTACTATTGCAAGCACGATCAGAGATGAAACATTGGAATCTATCAGTGACTCTCATTATGTATCAGTTATGATTGATGGTGCCACTGACAGCTCTGTGTTAGAAAATGAAGCAGTTTATGTGAGAACAGTGTTGAATGGCAACTCAATATAATGTATTTATGATCTTTTTGTTTGAGGTTGTTTAGTAATATTGAAACTGATGAGATCTTGAAGACTTCAAATTTGCATTTAAATTTTGTCAGTAAGTTTACTGAATATTTCTAAATGACACCTTTAAAAGTTTGCCAGGTAACAATTGAAGTGAATGTAATGTCTTTATGAGGTTGTTGTTTCAAGTTTAGTAACTAATATTGAAACTGATGAGATCTTCAAACATGTATTTGTCAGTTGACTGAATTATTCTAAGTGATATTTGCCAGGTCACAGTACCACTGAATGTAATTGTTCTTTAAATTTCTAAATTTCCTCCCAAAAATTTCATCTGTATTGTCTTAGAGAATTATAAAATAAAACAAACTTCACCTGGAATTGTTTTATTCATAACATCAGAGTGAAATAACATTACATGGATTTGGTTAGTAACTTTTGTATTTGGCTAGTAAACGAAAATATTTAGTTGTCAAAAAGTCAACTAAAAGGTAAATTTGTTTGTAGAGCCCTATATATATATATATATATATATATATATTTTATTTGAAAATTATAACAAATATGTTATAAAAAAATAACTACAAAAATAGCTTATATATATTTATATATATATATGTGTGTGTGTGTGTGTGTGTGTGAGTATATATATATATATATATATATATATATATATATATATTATTAGGGGAAAGAAATGTGGAAAAGTTTTCCTGTGATGCTGAGAATATTAAATTTAAAAATTATTTTTTTTTTAACATGTGTTTTTTTTATGTATATAATCAAGCTGATTTCATTTAGATTCTTTTTCTTCTTTTTATGTTTCCTTTACTTTTATTGTGATAATGGAAGATTGGCCAAGAATGGTGAAATGTTAAGAACCTGGACACAAATTTACTGTGGATGATCTAGTAATTAAAGCACTTTCTAAATTTTGGGGGCTCAGTAAATTCTTTTACCTTTTAATTAGAGTAGCATTTTTTAAATCAAAATTGTGGTCATTTCATTATGGTGAGCATCTAATGCATTTAATGTAATGTTTTCTAAAAGATCCCTTTTTTTGTTCACATAATCTTTCATTTAAATTCCTTGAGTTTTCTCCAATGCCAATTATTACCAGTAATAAAGTAAATTTTTCCTTCAAGTTTTAGCTTATTATTTTCTTTTGTATTAATTAAGTCTTTTATTGTTTTTATATGTAGGTGTGACAAATTTTATGTTAAGTTTAGATAAATTCTTTTCATTTGTAGTTGAGATTTGTTAAGTTTGTCAGGAAGGACTGCTTTCCTTGAAATGTTTTATGACCATTTTGTTTTGCAGTGTGTATTAAATAGTTATGATATTGGAGGAGCCTGAAAGTATTTTGATATATTTAGGGAAAGCGAACAAAATATATGAGGTGGGTCAATAATCAAAATGTAAGGAGAGACAAAGAATCAAAAGGAAGATGGAAGAGGAAAGAAAGTTGGGTCAGCTGGCCAACCAACTGTTGTATTCTGGCAACTTGCAGGTCATTTAGTCTAACAACTGGTGTGTCTACTTACATTTATATCTTGGTCAGCCTATGAACTTTTCAGCTGACCCTCGTTTATACCCCCACCCCTTCCATTTAAATCATTAAAATCTTCTAAATATTAAAACCATTATGCAGTATGGAAGGGAATGTATTGCTTAAACAGTATGTCGAACTTGAGGAAATAAAATTTGACTTTGCATGCAATTCTGTCTCATCATCTAAATCCCTGGAGGAACTTTCCAAGAGTCTTGTCAATTTGATTGATTGATATGGATCAAAATACAGGCCATTTGCATCACCTGATGAAGTCAGGTTTACAGAATTATGTTAGTATTTGGTAAAACCAATTCAAGCAGAGTACTTTTCCTTGAAATCAAAGCAGATTAGACAACTGTCCTGAATCCCAGACTTACTCATGTTCTTCAGGCTTCCAAGAGGGTGCTGATAATACAAAGATGACCACTCGTATTAACATACACACACACACACACAGAAAAAAAAATTATCCACTTATGTCTGGTCATTTGATCAGATTTTACAAGGTGTGTTAAGCAAGAACTTTTCAACCTTGAAACATTTCCCAAACAAAATTATAAAAGAATTTGTATTAAAAAATATTATATTAGTCATCCTTGCAATAAATTGATAATTTTAGTTGATCAAATATCCAAAGATTTTTATTCTATGAAAAGTAGGATAAGGTCAAGATTATTTTTATTTATGTCTACATGGTCATCTCAATAGAATACCATGGAGAAAAAAAAAACATATTGAAAATACTGAATATTGTTTTGCTTTATTGAAGTATTGTAACAATTTATACTATTTACATTGTTATCATCATGCTTATTGTCATATTCACAACATTTCGGCCATTCTACACTCTGGCATTCTTCAGGTGATATATGTTGAAATTTCAAACTGAATCCTTTCTTTCATCCACTGGGGTAGATTGTTCAATACCTAACCACAGCAGAGGTGGACAAAAACTTGGAGAGCTACTAAAGAGCAATAACTGAAACTTAAATATCCCGAAAAGGCATGGTACATAGAACTAGAACAATCTACCCTGGCAGACAAAAGAAAGGTTTTGGTTCAAAATTCCAACATATATCACCTGAAGAAGATCAAAGCATACAATGGCTGAAATGTTGTGAATACAACAATAAAGATGAAAACAACAGCTTGAACAATGTAAATAGTATAAACTGTTTTGCTTTTTTTTTTCATTAAATCTTTATCAAATCACATTTCATTGAAATAAAATTGCTTAATATTTCTTTTTGATACTAGAATTAACCTATACATGGCTTGAGAGCCACTTAGATTACTGTTAAAATGCTTATAATGAATGAGGTGCACGATATGAATGAAAAAGAAGGTTGGTCAGTTGATTTTGTTTAGTGGCATATCAACACTTCTGTGGGATATTGTTATGGTAATTTACCCATGCACGCATGGACTCTCCCAGATATAAATAGGAACAGGTACTGCCTTTTGGAGAGGGAAGTCTCCAGCAGTCAGCTCTGACAGTCGGACTGAACATTCTTGCTGTAACACTCATTTGTATATGTTTGTTTAACTGTTTCTGTTAATAGATTTGTTTAAGTCAATTCCTCTCTTTGTGTCTTTATTTCTGTCCCTAACAAGGTTACAACAGATATTTAATGCCAAAATCTAAATATTTTGACCACAATTTTATGGCTTCAGCTAAATATGTTTTAAACACAATTGTATGCCTTTAACTACAGATAAAATATATTGTTGGTAATTCTACAATAAAATGGTATTGCTGGTCATTTTACTATAAATATGTATTATTGGTAATTTTTTATATAAAAATATATTGCTGGTATTTTTATACTTTCATAGTGTTTTCTTTTTGTTGGGAGGGAGTATTTACCTATAGCTGGGACCCTAACTGGTGCTGCCACCTTGGGTCAGCATGGGCCTGGGAACAGTAACAATTAAAAGGTGGTTCCACACTCCTCAAAACTTCCAATCTCCCAATCAGAGGACTAGAAAAAGCAGATGGTAGGTAAGATTATGAGGATAAGGAGGATGTATAACAATTAATCCTTGACTTGAAAGGTTAATATTGTAGCATTCATGGAAGCACCCATGCAGGAGTCTGTTCCACAAAGTGACCGCTCTTGGGCAAAATCTAAGTGGAACATCCTTCTTATATTTGGAACATGGTAGAAATGAAGATATGGTCAAAATTAATAAGTGGAAAGGATTCATTATTTCATTCTTTGATGACAGGGTTTCTGGACTGAAAAAAAAAAAAAAAAACAACATTTGACTGAAGCTGTTCACATATTAATTTTCAAATTCTAAATAAATATAAAACACGTGGGTGAGCAGGTTCAGGTCCCTAACATACTTGCATACCTAAAGAATTTTTATGACTGGTTCTCAGATGATAGATACATCTTGTTTGTAATATAACATTCAAGCCTATCTCCATTGATAGGCTTCTCTTTGTAAAAATATATAACTCAATCTCTTTCTTTTCATTCAGATTATACATTCTTTTCTCAATTCTCCTTCGGCCTTCTTCATCTTCTCTCTCCTTTTTCCCCCCATTTTCCTGCATTTTTTCTTCCCCCTCTTTCCTTTCATTCTCTCGGATTCCTTCTGCTTCCTCCTCATCCCTTTCTTTCCATTCTCCTACTATCCATTTTCCTCTACCTCCTCCTCATTTTATATTCTCTTTCCCCTTCCTTTCTGACCTTCTCTTCTTCTCCTTTCTTTTTACTTTTCATCTTTTTTCTCTTTATTCCATTCTCTTTCTGCCTTCTTTCTTCTGTTTCTCCCTCCTTTTTCTTTCCACTCTCTACCTTTTTCTTACTCTTCTCTCCTCCTTTCTTTTCATCTTTTTTTATTACTCACTTTCTCCTTTCTATTCTCACTCATTCATTTTTCTTATCCCTTTTCTTTTCCCTCTTCTACCGTTTCTTTGTTATCTTTCCTTTTCCATTTCATTATCCTCCATCTTTCCTTTCTCCCCTTCTCTTATCTCTTCCTCTCTGTCATGTGTATGTATATGTTTACTCTCTCTTCATCTCTCATTCTTTTTATTTTCACATCTTTTCTTCTACTCCTTTACATCTGCACCCCACCTCAACCCCAATAACTTTGCAACAATGCAACTCCTCAATGTCACCGAAATAAATAAAAAGTAAGCACTTTAGAAATTGATTGTGGGCGGAGAGGCGGGGGTGTCAAAGATAAAAGAAAGAAAAAACTTTGATCTTGAAAAAAAATACATAACAGAAATATTACAAATCGTATATAAAAGACATGTTTGCTTTAGAATGTGTAACATTTCATATTCAATGAAAAATTCTTAAAAATAAAATAAAATAAAAAAGAAAACGAAACAAACAAAACGAAAAACAAAACAAAACGAAAAACAAAACACGAAAAACAAAGAAAATATTTTCCTCTTCCTCCTTCTGTTTACAGAGTTAACCATGAAAATGAAAATATACATGACATATTTCATCCCCTACCCACCTCAAATATAGAAACCTTTTTTTTTTAAACTTCTTTTCCCTCCAAAATTATGTTTCACAGTCATACGATTTCATCTGGGCTCAGGTTCCATCAAAATATAAAGCGGGCAGGGAGTTAGGTGGGATAAAAGAGCCTCAGCTATAGAATTAGCAATTCCTTTCTCAGGTTCCTAAAATAAAACAACATAAATAAAAATAAACAATCACTCATCTACAAGTTATTCTTTTTGAATAAATGGCATCTATTTGAAAAACGAAGCCCTCTTCCTTTTTCTACAATCTGGTGAACTAGGGATTAATAATGGATACGGATATTAACTCACATTTCCTTGACGAAAATGTTGCAGGAAAATTCCTTTGATACTTCTTTCTGCTTCTTTGAATGTCTGGAAGTTATAACACTGGCATTCGAAGTTTAAAGAAAGGTACCTTTCTGCTGTGTGTGTGTGTAATAATAATGGTTGGCCACTTGTATCCGAGTATGTATGTCTGTTGGGCAGCTAGCCAATCCCAACTGCAGACGCTTGCTCAGGCATATTTGTGTTTCTTTAACAGTTACAGAGCCCACCTGTGGTTTATACAGCAACCATACTAATTGGAAATGAGGTAAAGTTTCTGGAAGAGAGACCACATCATCTGGTATGATCAACAGCTTGATCAAGGACAATATGTTCAGATTCTCGGCTTGATGAATTATGACTTTGTGCTAGCAATGAACAATTCCATCTAACCAGTTTCATTCACAAGGTTTGAGTCAATCTGTGGAATGGTTTTCAGGCATTTTCCAAAGAGGCTACACACTGCGACCCCCCAAAAAAAAAAAAAAAAAAACAATAATATGAATAAGTTGAAAAGTAAATGTCCAACCAATATATATATATATATATATATATATATATATATATATATATATATATATATATATATATGTGTGTGTGTGTGTGTGTGTGCATGAATGTACATGTGGCATAGTGGTTATTGGTGCAGAAAGTGAGATTGGCATGGCAAGTTCAAATTCTAGCCATGGTCATTGCATTCACTTTCATGCAAATTCCTTTTGAAATGTATCAAACTATTTCTTCTTCTCACAGTTAAGAAGAGTTAGTAGGAGGGCAGATTGGACTCTCTAGCCAAGGTTGGCCACTAGCCTAGAAAAAAAGTAATGAAAAACTAGTTAAGTGTAGACTTAGCAGCTAAAGAAATTTATAAAAATAAAAAAAATAAAATTTTGTCTCTCTCCTACTGTGGTAGTGAGGGGCACAGTCTCCACTTCTGAGACGAACTGTCCTCCTTCTCATTCTATCCCTTTACATAGAGCTTGGTAACTCACCCATGCAAAACACGAACAATCCAGCTACCAATCTCAGTTTCCACGCATGCCCACCTCCACTCATTTTGGGGGTGTTAAGTTGGCCGACCAACTCATTCAAACCTGTCTGAATGGGCGTCAGTCAAAGAAATAATGACAACATTCTACACATGCATATGCACACATATACAGGTATACCCACACAAAGAACAAATCAACTCAACATCAATAAAAAGTGCATAAATTATATTATTTTTTTTAACTTACTATAAAAATAACCAAAATGAGAAAAATCACCAGAGAATTGCTGATACCTCCTGACGAGAAGATTGATGTCAGGATGCTGAATATAACATCAATCAGCTAAGAGACAAATTTTATATTTGTATTAATCATATAAGAATATAAAATGTCACATATTGAGTGTTGGTGCTAATAAAATAGACTTCAATGTATAATAACAGTGCTATAAATTATATGTATATATTATTAAATATACATTTTTTCCTCACTGGTAGCACAACTCTGCATCAGGTGCTGACTGAAAACTGTTTTCAATTAGCACCTGAAGATTGTGTTGTGCTAGCAAGGAGGAAAAAATGTATATTTATTATTAATATATATAATTCTCAGCATCCACTCCCCATGATGCATATGTATAGTTACATCAATGTAAATATCACTTTAGTATGATGAAGTTCTGAAGAACAAAACTTGTTATTCAATGATCATTTAACTACAGTGTAACCCGGATATAAGAGAGTTGTTGGGACTGGAGAAGAAGTCTCTTATATCCGGGTTTCTCTTATATCAGGGTTTGGTCTATTTTATATACATTAACACAGGCTCTAATTTGGGACCAGAGAAAATCTCTCTTATATCTGTGTCTCTTATATCCGGGTTACACTGTACATGACTTCAGTGGGAAAGTGACTGAAGTTAAGAGGCCAGGTCAGGATCAATAACATTACAGATTCTTCTTTAGATTTTATCAGAAATCTCATGATATATATCAGGAGTACCAGACCAGATATGGTAGCAACATTCAATACATGGACAATTGGTACATTTATAAATGTGTAAGATGGATTCTGATGAGAAAAACTGCCTGGCATGATAAAATGAACCAATTTTTGGGGAAGCAGGCCTATACCTCCTCCCCCATATATACCGGGTGCATCAAAAATATCTCCCAAATATACCTCCTAGAAACACCATCCACGTAATCGTAAGACATTAGCTTGATGAAGACATCATAGCCACTAATGTTTTATCATTGTTGGAGGCATTTCTGCTACACTTCATTTTTTTAATCTGTCCCATGTACATAATACAAGTAACAACAGAAAGACTTCAATATAAGATAATAAAGTATTTTATTACCAAACACAATTACATTAACAAAAAAGAGGTAAAGAGTCAACAGAAAGATCATTGATTACTTATCAGTTAATCCCCAACTACCTAGAGCTGCTAAGAAAAGTACTGATTTTTCTTGAAACATGGGGCACTCGACTTTAACATCCAGGTTAACACAATAGTCAGCACGTAATTGTAACCACCCAGTCAGTGGCATATCTCTATTTATAGTAAATGGCGTTCTACAGTTCCATTGTCTACAGATTCACATTTAAACTCCAGAGTCAGCAGTGACATTTTTCATTCATATATGACATATAAACTATAATTTTGGAAAGTGAAAAGTTTTTAATTGAAATTAAGAAAATATGTAGTTTAAAGAAAATTATCAAAATATACAAATAAAAAAAATATATAAATAAAATATCCAGAAACATATGGTTTAAGAAATATCAATAAAAAAAAAAAAAAAAAAAAAAAACAAACAATAATTATCAATGTGTATTTATTTATATATTTATGGTGCATTTATTTATATATTTCCTGTCCCAGCTGTAGTGGGGAGGAAGATAAATCAACTTAAGTTATGAGTGATTACTTCTCTTAATTGTTTTAATAATCTATACAAATAAAATATTTATCTGCATTTAGACAAAATTACTTTCCAAGCAAAATGAAATGTTTAATTAATCAGATCCTTTACTCCTACATTTCTTAGAGAGCAATCTTATTTGTTCAAGCCATTCATGTGAGGCACCCAATACCTTTGTCTATGAAGTGATTGGCTTTCTTCAACTTGGTCTTGAAATAGGCTGTGTCATCATTGCAGTCTCTGTTGTTCTGTTGCTAATCTTTTTCTTCCAAGAGATATTTACATTTTACTGTTAAATTTTTAACATGAAAGATATTGAGCAAAAAGTGAATTGTATAGTACCAGAAGTAATCAATGAATTATGGATACTTTTGAATGGCTAAAAAGTATAAAGGGAACAGATTAATTAAATGGGTAGTTGGCCTCTATTTTAGTTGGGAATTCTTTATCTTGGCTTTATTGAATCTCAATATATTGTTTCAAGACTTTTGTTTCATTACATCTCATTATTAAAACTTTCTAACAATTGCTGACATTTAACAGAATTGGTACACTAGTTTTTATATAAAAAAGTAATTCTGTCATTTTCTTGGAAAAATGTGTGTCTATGAAGTAAACAAATAGGGTGAATAAAATACATATTTATTTTTAATAACGAGAAGCATTCCTTTGTTATAGCAGTGAATGCTGGGCAATCTCCACACAAGAGACTTGAAGCAATAGAAATATGGTTCTACAAAAGGATGCCAAGAATACCATGTGAGTAACAAAGTTTTAGAGAACATGAGAACAAAAAAGATACTTATACTTAACATAAGGGAAAGAGTTGAAATTTCTAGGGCACATAACTTTTGTAATGTCAAGGAACACTCTTAACATTTTTGTAATGCTCATTGTAGTAGAGACTTTGTAATCAAAGATACAACTATAGTATGCCGTTGAACAATGCTGATGTCAGACACCTTCAAATAACACTTGTACTAATAGTACTTGCTTGATAATACTCGCTCAAAAGGTAATCCGTATAGTGATCCAAATAGAGAAATATAATGAATAGAACAAAGAATAGTAGTCTGTATATTAATAGAGTAGAAATAACGATCTGAATAGTAATAGAGGATAGACTACAAATGTGATTGTTAGCAATCAGCTATTTTCTACATATATACATTTGCTCTATGGTCATGTGATCTATTTAATTTAATAAAGGGATTGCCTGTGTTTGCTCACTGGCAATCTATGTTCAAACTCAAGTGTTGGCAGTGACACTTTATTCCTATATAACAATAATGAAGAAAGAGGGTTTGGAAAATTTGATACTCATAGGACAAATTGAAGGAAAGAAGGACAGAGGATAACATAACCTATCTAATGAGCTTGTGTAAATGTAAAGGTTTAGGAGAGATA